GGATAGGAGCTAAAGGCAGAGGCTAGAGAGAAGGCTGCCCTAATTATCCAGATATGAGTAGTTAAGACTTAAACCAGGTAGTGAAAGATTCAGGAAATACTGTGAGGAAAGATTTTGCTGGCTGTGGGAGGGGAAGGGTCAAAGGTAGCACTAAGATTTCAGGTTTGGAGGTTAGGAGAAATGATGGATGGTTTTGCAGGAAAAATGATGAATTCCACTTTATAGCTGAGTTGATTTTGAAGTGAAAACTTACCAAAATGGAAATAACCATGAAGCCATTAGAAATGTGGAACTGAGGCCGGGTGCAGGGGGTCACGACTGTAATCCCAGCACTTTGGGAGGCCAAGGTGGGCAGATCACCTGAGGTGAGGAGTTAGAGACCAGCCTGCCCAACATGGCTTTACTAAAAATACAAAAATTAGCCAGGCATGGTGGCACCTGCATGTAATCTCAGCTGCTCAGGAGGCTGAGGCAGGAGAATCACTTGAACTCAAGAGGTGGAGGTTGCAGTGAGCCAAGATTGTGCTACTGCACTCCTGCCTGGGTGACAAAGTGAGACTGTGTATAAAAAAGAAAAATAAAACAAACATGAAACTGAATCTAAGGAGAGTGATTAGGGTTAACAAAACACATCTGGAAGTCATATCCTTATGAAAACCAAAAGAGAGTGAATGTTAGACATAATACAGTGAGTGAAGACCACATAATCAAGGACTGAACCATGGGGAAAAGTTCACCAAGAGTGTAAACAAAGAAAACAAGAAAGAAACACACAAAAGCAGAGAGATTGAAGTTATAGTCCCATAAGATTACATTTCTTTAAAAAGTTGTATTAAACATGGGATTAAAATTACAGTGATACATTTCATAAATGCCTTATGAATTGATTTTTAAAAATACACAAATCTCAACTTAGCTCTGGTTTATTTAGCTAAATTAATGACACACCTAGAAGCTTTACCTAGTATTTCTACATAGTCTCTCTCCCTGTCGATAAAATAAGGACAATAATACTATCGTGGTCACTTCACAATATATGTGACAACTTTAAAAGTCATGAAGTGGGAGAATAATGTCAGGTTTTATCATTGACCTACTTGGCAGTGGAATTTCTTAAAGGCAAGTTGGTGTCCTTTTACCTTCAGAACCTACAAGAATAGATACTTAAAATATGTTTGCTGAATTAATTGATCATAACAGAGAAGCAAGATACTTGAATTTTTATTCCAGCTCAATTTTTGACTGTGTAGCCTTGGACAAGTTAATTCATGTTTCTGGATCTTAGTTAGATTAAGATGATTTCCCAGAGACCTGCAGGTTTTGCAGGCTGACAGCAGAATGATTCAGAGGATTTCATGGGGGCTAACTGGTTCAGCACAACCGAACTTAGATCCTTGCCTTCTAAACAGCAGCTTCAGCGTATTCATAGAAATGGCTTTGAGCTTGACCCTTTTTTATACTCTTAAGGAGAGCAATAACTTTTCTTACTAATCAAAAACTGTAATTAGTTTTCTGTGTAAACACATTTGTTGAACATCTTTTGGGTTCTACAAGTAATTTATACATACTTTAATTTGATGTATACAGGTAGAATCATGTTCTGCCAAGTGCCACTTTATGTTTCAGTTTGCATAATAAGGCTTCTTCCTTATATTCTAGCCAATTTTTAAAAAACTGACAATAGCCAGGCACAGTGGCTCACGCCTGTAATCCCAGCACTTTGGGAGGCCGAGGTGGGCAGATCACAAGGTCAGTAGATCGAGGCCATCCTGGCCAATACGGTGAAACACCATCTCTACTAAAAATACAAAAAATTAGCCAAGCCTGGTGGCACACACCTGTAGTCCCAGCTACTCAGGAGGCTGAGGCAGGAGAATCACTTGAACCTGGGAGGCAGAGGTTTCAGTGACCCGAGATGGCACCACTGCACTCCAGCCTGAGCGACAGAGCTCCGTCTCAAAAAAACAAAAACAAAAACAAAAAACCTGACACTGATTTAGAAGTTCCATTGAAATGAAAAATACAAACTGTTGTCCATTTAGTGCTTGTATTTAAATATGTGAGTTAACCCAGTAACAATGAAATCAAATTTGTTTCTAAAAATGTATTTCTGACTTGATTTGCAACAGTTTTTTTTTTTGTCTGTGATACAGCCTTAGGAGGTCCTGATGACATGTGCCCCTGTAATAGATTTTTAGTTATGATTAATATATAATTGGGCTGGGCATGGTGGCTCATGTGGTGAAACCCCGTCTCCACTCAAAATACAAAAATTAGCTATGTATCATGGCACAGGCCTATAATCCCGGCTATTCAGAAGGCTGAGGCACAAGACTCTCTCGAACTCCAGGGGCAGAGGTTACAGTGAGCCAAGATCGTGTCACTGCACTGCAGCCTGAGCAACATAGCGAAACTCTGTCTCAAAAATAAAAATAAAAATGATATAATTAATATGTAATAAAATCTTAAGCAATTTGATGAATTCTGACAGTTGTATACACCCATGTAACCTACCATCAGAAACAAAAAATAGAACATGCCCATTCCTTCAGGAAAGGTTCCCTTGAGCCCACTTCCAGCCAGGCTCCCCCACCTCTACCATCTGATTTCTATCACTATAAATTAGTTTTTATGTCATAAAAATGGAATCATTCAATATGTACCCTTTTGTATCTGGCTTCTCTTGTTTAACCTGATGTTTTTGAGATTCATCCATATTGCTGAGTATATCAAAAGTTTGTTCTTTTCCGTTGTCTTTATATACAAATTTTAAATTCATTCAGTTGATGGATTTTGAATTGTTTCCAGTTTCGGGCTGTTATAAATAAATCTACTTTCAACATTCCTATCTATGACTTATTGTTGACATATGCTTTTTTTTTCTCTTGGGTAAATACCTAGGAGTGGCACTGCTGAATCCTAGGGAATATATATATTTAACTTTTAAGAAATTTCCAAAGAGTTTCTTAAAGTGGTTGGACCATTTTACGAAGTTTTCCAGCAGTACATGAGAGTTCTAATTGCTCCACATCCTCCCTAATATCTGATATTGCTAGTCTTTTTAAATTTTAGCCATTTTATTAAGTGTGAATCAACATCTCATTCTGGCTTTTATTTGTATTTCCCTAATGATTGATCATAGCTAGCACCTTTTCAGGTGTTCCTTGGCCTCTTTTATATTTTCTTTTGTGAAATGTGTGTCTTTTATCCATTTTAGAAATTATATTGCTTACTTTTCATTGTTGTTTTATGGGAGTTCTTTCTTGGATATAAATCAGTTGTCAGATGTATTTGCTGTACATTTATTTACCAGCCTCTGACTTGTCTATTCACTTTCTTAATTGAGTCTTTGGTTGAGCAGAAAATTTTAGTTTTGGTGCATGTGTGTGTATGTGTGTGTGTGTTTGTTTGTTTGTTTGTTTTGAGACAGAGTCTTGCTCTGTCACCCAGGCTGGAGTGCAGTGGTGCGATCTTGGCTCACTGCAACCTCCGCCTCCCGGGTTCAAGCAATTATCCTGCCTCAGCCTCCTGAGTAGCTGGGATTACAGGCACAAGCCACCATGCTTGGCCAATTTTTGTATTTTTAGTAGAGACGGGGTTTCACCATGTTGAACAGGCTGGTCTCGAACTCCTGACCTCGTGATCCACCCACCTTGGACTCCCCAAGTGCTGGGATTACAGGCATGAACCACTGCACCTGGCCTGGTTTTGGTTTTATGATGAAGTCCAATTTATTATTTTATAATAGTTTGTTCTTTTTTGTATCTGGTCCAAAAAATCTTTGCCTACCTCAAGATCCTGATAGTGTTATCCTGTGTTTTCTCTTAGAGACCTTGTTTCCGAGTTTTGTTTAGGTCTGTAATATATCTGAAGTTCATTTGTGAGCATGGAATGAGATAGAGGTCAAAGCTCTTTGTGTGTGAGTGTGTGTGTGTGTGTGTGTGTGTGTGTGTGTGTGTAGACAGATAGGTGGTGCACACCATTTGGGGAAAAACAAGACTTTCCTTTTGTCCCATTGAATTTACTTTGGCACCTTGGTCAAGTCCGATTCTTCATATTTGTGTGGGCTATTTCTGGATTCTCGGTTCTCTACCACTGATCTATTTGCCCATCTTGATGCCAATATCACATTGTCTTGATTACCATAACTTTATAATAAGTCTTGAAATCAGGTAGTATTAGCTCTCCAGCTTTATTCTTTTTCAAAGTTGTTTTGGGTATTCTACATCCTTTGAATTTCTGTATAATCTTTAGAATCATCTTTATTTCCTCAAAATAGCCTGAGAATGGAGAGTTTAACAATATTGAATTTCTCTATCCATGAACATTTATTTGGATCATCTTTAACTGCCAATAATATTTTGTAGTTGTTAGGGTGGACATCTTGGGTTAGAGTTGTTGCTACATATGTGATGTTTTGATGCTATCGTAAATAATATTGTTTGCTTTTATATTTTTATTTTTTGACATGTTATTACTATATAGAAATATAATTGATTTTGTATGTTGACCTTATGTCCTGCAACCTTACTAAATCTGCTTATTAGCTTTTGTAGTTTGTATGTTCCTGAGGATTTTCTACATATACAATTATGCCATGTGCCCATAACAATTTTACTTTTTCTAATCATGTATGCCTTTTCTCTTTCTCTTGCCTTATTGAACTGGCTAGAACTTTCAGCATAATGTTGGATAGAAGTGGTGAGAGCAGACGTTCTAACTTGTTCTCAATCTTAGGAGAAACATGTCCAGCCTTTAGGTTTATAGGAAATGCCCTTTATCAGATTGAGGAAGATCTCTTCTATTCTTTGTTTCTTGAGTTCTTTTTAATATCATGAACGTATGTTGAATGTTATATGTGCTTTTTCTTGGCATCTATTGAAAGACTTATAATTTTTCTCTTTTATTTAGTTTATGTGGTTGTATATTACATTTTTTAAAAATTGTAACCTAACTTTACATTCCTGGGACAATTGGTACTACATGTGCACCTTATTTTTAATTCCCCCAAAGTTTGCCCCCAAATTGCTGGAATTTTAATTTGGCTAGCAGATGTTAATATACAGATCTTTTATTTAAGTAGCAACATTTTTTTCACATATACTATCCAGTACCACTAAAATAATTACTGGAAAAGCCAATTTTTTTTTTTTTTTTTTGGAGACAGAATCTTGCTCTGTCACCAGGCACCAGGCTAGAGTGCAGTGGTGTGATCCTGGCTCACTGCAACCTCTGCCTCCCAGGTTCAAGCAATTCTCCTGCCTCAGCCTCCCGAGTAGCTGGGACTACATCCACGTGCCACCACGCCCAGCTAATTTTTGTATTTTTTAGTAGAGACAGGGTTTCACTGTATTAGCCAGGATGGTCTTGATGTCTTGACCTTGTGATCCACCCGACTCAGCCTCCCAAAATGCTGGGATGTCCCTGCTCTCAAAGAATCACAGCCTATTGGAAAAGTCAGATATGTAGATAATGTGCAAATAATATAAAAATATAGTGATAAATCTTTACCAAAAAATTAGTGAAATAGCAAAAAAAAAAAAAAAAAAATGTAGTATCTTGCTTACCCTGTATTGATCAGGAGAACAATACTAGAAAAGGTGATACTTAAAGTGTTTTAAAGAGATAAACCAAGTAGAAGGGATTAAAGGGAAGAGGGCACAACCTGACCAAAGACATAAAGCTAAGACACACCATTGTGCTTCAGGGAAACTACTAGCAGTTCACTGTTGTTATAAAGTACAAGGTTTGGTATGATGAATGATGAGATTGTACAAGTGTCAGCCACATCATTGCAAGCTTTGTGCGCCAAATGAAGGAACTTGTCTCTTGTTCTGTGAGTGATGCAAAGCCATTGCTAGATTTTAAGAAAGGGAGAGTGACACGCTCAGGTTTGCATTTGAATCAGAGTCCTATGGCAGATGTGTGGAAGATATATTTGAAAGGGCCAAGACTGGAGGCAGGAAGATAAATTAGGGAAAAAAAATTGTGAAGTTTTGAACCTTAGCAATCAGAGAAATGAAGAGAAAGGGTCAGATTTGAGAAATATTTAGGAAATAAAACTGGTAGGACTTGGTGATGATCTCAATAGAGAATGAGTAAAGAAAGAGGGTGTAATAGTTTCATAGATATCTTAGTCCATTTGGGCTTCTATAACAAAATACCAGAGATCGGGTAGGTTATAAACAACAGAAATGTATTTTTCACTGTACTGGAACTTGGGTAGGTGAAGATAAAGGTGATAGCTGACTTGGTGTCTGGTGAGGATCGACTTCCTAGTTCATAGATGGTATCTTCTCACTGCGCCCTTACATGGTGGAAGGGGGTGAGCTAACTCTCCGGAGTTCTTTTAATTAGGGGTACTAATCCCATTCATGAGGGCTCTGCCCTCATGACTTTATCATCTCCCAAAGGCCCCACCTCCTCCTACCATCACCTTGGGGGTTAGGATTTTAACATGTGAATTCTGAGTAGACACAAACATTCAGGCTGTAGCACTAAGACTACAATATCAAAGTACCACAAATTGGGTGGCTTAGAACAAGAGAAATTTATTGTCTCACAATTCTAGAGTCTAGAAATATGCAATCAAGTTGTTTTCAGGGCCATGCTCCTTCTGAGACTCTGGATAGAAGCCTTCCCTGTCTTCTGGTGGTAATAGTTGTTCCTTGACATCCCTTGTCTTGTGGCTGCCTCACTCCAGTCTGCCTCTGTTGTCACATGGTGTTTTCCCTGTGTGTCTCTGTCTTCATATAAAGATACAGTCATATTGGATTTGGGCCCACCCTCCCCAGTATCGCTTCATCATAAACGATCATATCTGCAATGACTCTATTTTCAAATAAGGTCACATTCTGAGTTACTTGGGGTTATGACTTAAACTTATCTTTTTGGGGGACACAGTTCAACCCATAACAGATGATAAAGTCAAAACTGCACTTAGTTTGCTACCTAAGGATTTACAAGATATTGCCACTGGTGAGATAGGAAACACAAATAAAAGAGCTAGAAGATTAATTCGATTTTCTAAAGGGCATACAGGAAGAGCCGTTTTAGCAATCAGTTCTATAGGTCTGAAGTGCATCTCTTTAAGACAGAAACAAGCTGTTATGACTTATGCGTAGCATCAGTAATTGGCTTCATGTTCTCATTGTTGAGAACATGAGATGATGGTTCATAAAAGAGTTTTATAGCTACTATTACTCTGGCAGGGCTGGTGATCTCTATCTTGAGCTGTTATCATTCTCAGTAATTTTAGAACCATCCATCGGGAAGTGTTCTTTTTCAAAATTGAATCATTTTAATACCAACCCACAAAAATAAAATCTAAAAAAAATTTTAAAACATCAAATCATTTTAGTAAACACCTAAATCACCAACACAATAGCTTGAAAAAGTTGTCAAATTTTCTTAAGACTAATATGAGTAAATATTGTTTTAATATAAAGGAAAAATACTGGGTGTTAGACATTCAGGCATCCTCAATTTGAAACAAACAATATATTCCCTTTTAAAAATACTCTTTCTGGATGTGTTAACGTTTGCAAGCATAGTAAACATCTTCATTATGTGACTAGACAAAATAAACATAGTTTACTATTGTTAACATCAATTTTATGTTTTTAAGAACATTTTCAGCTTTAAATATTTTAAATAGTTGATTTTAAAAATATTGTCACACAAGTATGTTATTTTTGTGCATCTCATTGAATTTAGTACAATCTGTTGTTTTCTGCCAACTTGAAATGCTTCAAAATTTATTTGTCCAAAGCTCTAAAACTATTTTAAATTCCTAATTAGATTTTTTCTTAATGCAGGAAGTCTTGCTGGAGTTGCTAGAACAATGCGTAGATGGCTTATGGAAGGCAGAACGTTATGAAATAATTTCTGAGATTTCCAAGTTGATCATTCCAATTTATGAGAAACGTCGTGAGTTTGAGGTAGGCAATGTGAACATTTTTATCATTGTATTTTGTATTTTATTTTGGTTTTGGGGAAACAGTAATATAGTTCTGTTACTATTATTCTACTCTGTGTTCTCTGAAGAATACAAGGTTCATTAGATTGTGACTTTTGTATTTAATCATAGAACATAGATACTTAATCTATCATTTTGACACATTTGTCCAATTTCGAAGTGACAATCCCTAAAAATGCTATTAAATCCTAAAAGTTTTTTAAATGTCTTCACCACAAAGGAATGATAAATGTTTGAGGTGACACATTTACTAATTACCCTGATTTGATCATTACACAATGTTGGCATGTATGGAAACAACGCATCATACCCCATACATACATACAACTATTACGTGTCAATTAAAAACAACACAAAACTTCCTCTGGTCCTGCTCATGAAAAGAAAATAAAGTAAAACTTAAAAAGTCCTACCTTATATTCGTTTATGTTTCCCAAATGAAATTAAGGGCAAAAAATCCAAAATATAAATTGAGATTTAAATTAGACTAATGGTTCTGAAAATATTTTCTTTTCTTTCTTTCTTTTTTCTTTTCTTTTTTTTTGAGATGGAGTCTCACTCTTTTGCCCAGGCACTGGCATGATCTTGGCTCACTGCAGCCTCCACCTGCTGAGTTAAAGCTATTTTCCTGCCTCAGCCTCCCAAGTAGTTGGGATTATAGGTGTGTACTACCACGCCCTGCTAATTTTTGTATTTTTAGTAGAGACGGGGTTCACCATGTTAGCTAGGCTGGTCTTGAACTCTTGACCTCAGGTGATCCACCTGCCTCAGCCTGTCAAAGTGCTGGGATTACAGGCATGAGCCACGCACCCGACCTGAAAATATTTTCATTTAGCAACCTCCCATCTTCCTCTCAGAGCGTAAAAGAATTAGTTGTTTTCACTAAACCTTCACTTTAAAAAGCTGTTGAATTTCCATATTGCCCAGGGAAGAGGCATAGACATGATTCTATTCTTTATAATTCAGTGGAGAGACTAAAGGTGTTGGTAGACGACAGTGGGGTAAGCTATTACTAAACACTAGTAATAGCCCTATTATGAGAATTTTTAAATTTGACTTGCCAGATAAACTATTGATAAAGTGTAGTTAATAAAGAATAGTAGTATAATGAACAGTAATTCCTACCAGCACTAAACAGGATTTTTAAAAAATATTCAGGTCTCTTAGTCCATATCATAATTTCTACTACTACTGTGCTGGGAAGGATTTAAGCCATTTTTAAAAAGCAAGGCAATTTATCCTTAAATAAAGCATTTAGCCTTTCCTTGCTGAAGTAGTTTCTAAGAGTAAACACACATAGATTTAATGTCATCTGGGTCGTGTTTTGATCTCTCCTCCAAACTGGCTGTGATCAAACTCACTTTTTCTTCCCAGATGCTAGGTATTCTTCTCTCTGCATACTTTTGTTGTGTATGGGACATGCCTGAAAACTCATAATAGAATTCAAGTGATTATATAATAAGCCGAGATTAAGTATAGGTCATATAGATGGCAAAGAATAGCCTATGAGGGCTGGGCATGGTGGCTCACACCTGTAATCCCAGCACTTTGGGAGGCCAAGGCGGGCAGACCACCTGAAGTTGGGAGTTCGAGACCAGCCTCACCAACATGGAAAAACCCTGTCTCTACTAAAAAATGCAAAATTAGCCAGGCATGGTGGCGCATGCCTGTAATCCCAGCTACTCAGGAGGCTGAGGCAGGAGAATCACTTGAACCCGGGAAGCAGAGGTTGTAGTGAGCTGAGATCGCTCCATTGTACTTCAGCCTGGGCAACAACAGCAAAGCTGCTTTTCGAAAAAAAAGAATAGCCTATGATACAAAACTAGATTTGCCATTACCCCTCCTATCAAAGCATCACATCTGAAAAACCTTTGTAATAATTTCAAAATAAAGGCTCCATTTTCTGACTCTTAGAATGAAGGAAGACCTGACTGTTCAAAACCCAGGGATCCTTTTGCTACTCAGCCAACTAGTAGGGAAGAAAGAAAAGTATATCTTCTCTGCACATTAAAGGAAATGATGTTTTCTATAGGGGAACTGCTCCTATTTCCTTGGAGGGGTGTAAGGGTCTGTATAAATCCCCTAGCACTCTGTATGAATGAAGTAATTGTATCCAGGACTGATGTAGCTGGGGCATGGAAATGTACGCCTGTGATCCCAGGTACTTGAGAGGCTGAGGTAGGAGGACTGCTTGAGTCCAGGAGTTTGACGCTGCAGTGAACTATGATTGAGCCACTGCACTCCAGCCTTGGCTACAGAACAAGATCCAATCACAAAACAAAACCGAAAAATACAACACAGATGCATGCTTTTTCAGTGTTTCTCTATGGAATGGGCTGAAAACTGTCAGAGATAGCAGTCAAGGTAGGGAAGATTTCCCTCCAATTGAGCTCAACTGTAAAAGATAATATGGGAAGAATTTTAGAGAAAGAAGCTTGTGTGTTCCTCTTTTTTTATTGAGATGAAATTTATATAACATACAATTAACCATTCACAGTGTTGTGCACCCAACACCTCTTTCTAATTTTAAAACTTTTTCATCTCCCCAGAAAAACACTCCATACCCATTAAGTAATTACTCCTCACCCCACTCCCATTTTCCAATAACCACCAATCTGCTTTCTGGATTTGCTTATTCTGGATATGTCACGTAGAAGGAATACAGATTGAGCATCCCTAATCTGAAAATTTGAAACCATGAATGCTTTGAAATCTAAAATTGTTTGAGCATGGTCATGATTATCAGTGCAAGTGCTCATTGAAACACTTTGGATATCAGATTTTCAGACTAGAGATGTTCAGTTGGTAAGTCCAATGCAAATATTCCAAAATCCCTAACACTTCTAGACCAAAGCATTTCAGATAAGGGATACTCAACCTGTAATATAATATGTGACCTTTTCTGTCTGGCTTCTTTCAGTTAGCATAATTTTTTTTTAATTAAGTCAGAGTCTCGCTGTGTCACCCAGGCTGTAGTACAGTGGCGCAATCTCAGCTCACTGTAACCTCCACCTCCTGAGTTCAAGCGATCGTCACACCTCAGCCTCCCAAGTAGCTAGGACTACAGGTACATGCCACTACACCTGGCTAATTTTTGTACTTTTAGTAGAGATGGAGTTTTACCATATTGTCCAGGCTTGTCTTAAACTCCTGACTTCAAGTGATCCACCTGGCTCAGCCTCCCAAAGTTCTGGGATTACAGGCATAAGCACCACACCCACCCTGTTAGCATAATATTTAGAGGTTCATGTATCAGTTGTAGCATATATCAGAACTTCACTCTTTTTTATGGCTGAATAAAATTCCATTGTATGGATCTATTGTAGTTTGTTTATCCATTCATCCATTGATGGACATTTGAGTTGTTTTTACCTTTTGTCTGTTATGAATAGTGCTGTTGTAAACATTCATGTGCAAATTTCTGTGTGGATATATATTTTCACTTCTCTTGAATATATGCTAGGGAGTGGAATTGCTGGATCATTTGGTAATTCTATGTTTAACTTTTTGAGGACCCACCAAAATGTCTTCCATGGTGGCTATGCCATTTTACATTCCGATCAGCAATGTACTAGGATTCCTATTATTTCATATCGCACCAATGTTTGGTATTTTCTGTTTGTTTTATTTTGTTTTGTAAAATCCATCCTAGTGCATGTCAAGTGGCACCTCATCATCCTGGTTTCCATTTCCTTAGTGACAGTGAGATTGAGTGTCTTTTCATGTCCTTGTTAGCTGCTTGTACATCTTCTTTGGAGCAATGTCTATTCAGGTCCTTGGCCCATTTTTAAAATTGGTTTATGTATATTTTGTTGTTGAGTAGTAAGAATTCCTTATATATTCTGGGCACTAAACCCAAACCCTTATCAGATCTGTGATTTGCATATATTTTCTTCCATTCTGCAGGTCGTCTTTCACATTTTTGATAATGTTCTTTGCACAATGTGCTCTCTTTTTCTGGAAGTGCAGAAAAACATATCCTTTGGAAATGTCTGTTAACTTGCATAAAAGCAGCCCTCAATGCAGCTTGTACCATTACTAATTTTTTTTTTCTTTTGAGACAGTCTCGAACCTCCACCTCCCAGGTTCAAGCGATTCTTCTTGCCTCAGCCTCCCAAGTAGCTGGGATTATGGGCGCCCGCCACCACAGTAGGCTAAATTTTGTATTTTCAGTAGTGACAGGGTTTCACTATGTTGGCCAGACTCGTCTCAAACTCCTGACCTCAAGATCCGCCCGCCTTGGCCTCCCAAAGTGCTGGGATTATAGGCATGAGCCACTGTGCGCAGCCTACTTACTTCTATATTTGCATTTTATTTTCCTCTTTAAATACATGGATTGTTTATTCTCATATCTGTCTACCTGAGGGCTCAAGCAAAGCATTTGGCTGTCCTTTCAGTTAAAAATATTCAGACCCTGTAGAAAATAGTAGTTGATCTTGTTACCCAGGCTGGAGTGCAATGGCGCGATCTCGGCTCACCGCAACCTCCGCCTCCTGGGTTCAGGCAATTCTCCTGCCTCAGCCTCCTGAGTAGCTGGGATTACAGGCACGTGCCACCATGCCCAGCTAATTTTTTGTATTTTTAGTAGAGACGGGGTTTCACCATGTTGACCAGGATGGTCTTGATCTCTTGACCTTGTGATCCACCCGCCTCGGCCTCCCAAAGTGCTGGGATTACAGGCTTGAGCCACCGTGCCCGGCCAGCAAAACTCCGTCTCAAAAAAAAAAAGAAAGAAAATAGTAGTTGATAATACAGTATTTCAAAATTAAAAATTTCCATTGAGATGTGAATAAAATGAAGCATGATATTAAGAAATACAATGTTATTCAAGAACAGAAAACCACATACCGCATGTTTTCACTCATAAGGGGGAGTTGAACAATGAAAATGCATGGACACGGAGCGGGGAACACCACACACTGGGCTTGTTGGGGGCTGGGGGGGTGAGGGGAAGGAATTTAGAGGATGGGTCAATAAGTGCAGCAAACCACCATGGTACACATATACCTATGTGTAACAGACCTGCACATTCTGCACATGTATCCCATGTGTTTTTTAGAAGAAATTTTTAAAAAAAGAAACGCAGTGTTATTTTACCATTTTAAATTATACTCTTAGATCTAAAGTTGTTGAGGACTTTGTCTAATTGTTACAAAGGGAGATGAGTATGAAAGGCCTCACCAAGACCATTTTGGAAAGAACGTACTGGTCCTTTTTATCCTTGTACATTCATCTTGAAGACATTTAGTAATTAACCAAAAAACAAAGCTGATTTGTATATTTTCGTTTTTCAGAAACTTACTCAAGTTTATAGAACTCTTCATGGAGCTTATACAAAAATTCTGGAAGTTATGCATACAAAGAAAAGACTTTTAGGCACTTTCTTCAGAGTTGCTTTTTATGGCCAAGTAAGTATACTTGAGTACATAAAGTTTTCCTTTTTAAATATTCGCCTTTGAATTACTGGTTTACTGTAGCAGCCATGATTCTGTCCAGACGGAGTGCCTATCACAACAGCAGGGAGCCTCTTTTGTATGTTTAAAGTTGACTTTGGTTCTCATATCTAAATCCTTCAGGTCAAAGTGCAACAGAGATTTTTATTTCTGTTAGTTTCACTTTCTGTTAAGCTTTTTAAGTACATATTAAATATATAGTAGTTAAAACTTTCAAGGAAAAAACAGGTAAGTGTACAGGGAAGGAAAAAAAATCTAGTTTGGAAATCTTCCTCAGTCCACATGTTTATATGATTATAAATTTGAAAATTATCAGGAATTTGAAATTTGAAGTTAAAAGGGTAATTCATGCATGGAACTTTTAGTAATATTATTCAAAATGTATTTCAAATATATGATTACTAATTATTTAGATTTTCTTTAAATGTGTTTGCTCATATTATTTATAAATTATTATTTGTTTAACTTTGTAATAGTCTTTTTTTGAAGAAGAAGATGGAAAGGAGTACATCTATAAAGAACCAAAGCTCACTGGCCTCTCAGAAATTTCCTTGAGACTTGTTAAACTTTATGGTGAAAAATTTGGTACAGAGAATGTCAAAATAATTCAGGATTCAGACAAGGTAACACATGTCCTACATTTTGAAATTATTTGTTAGTTCCAGGCATTACACATTGCTTCTGACTTTTCCCTTTTTTAGCTGATGGAGAAGCATGAAAATTGAGACTTTCAGATAATAAAAGAAAGGAACAGGGGCTTTGGAGGCAGAGATACCAAGTTTCAAATCTCTACTCTCTGCCACTCACTAGCTGTGTGACCATGGGAAAGTTACTTAACCTCTCTGTGCTTCATTGTTCTTAGTAATAAAATGGAGATAATAGTATTTTCCTCATGAGGTTGTTGTATGGATTAAAAGAGATAATATATGGAAAGTATAATCACTTTCCTGGTATATAAAAAGCATTCACTAATAATAACAGAAAGTAGAGTGCTCACTAAAGGTTAGATATTATTGTAAATGCTATTATACATCATGAGTTTCCATTACATCATGATTAAAATCATCTTGGGGCACACAGTTTATTCTAAGATATCCGTAGTTCAGTAATAGTGACCGTAGTTAACATTTGCAATGAAATAGGTTTAGAAGGGAACCTTGAGCCTTACTCTAAAGGTTCTCCATCCCACTAGGCCCTGCCAAGGCAGAGTGAGAAAGCTTATATTACAGCAAGAGAGGCCCTTTCCTAGAAAATGCATAGTTCCCTATAGACAGGATTTTGGGGAAGCATTGTAGGAATACCTAACTGTCCTTAGTTGCCTTGGGTGTACCCAGGCTTAGAGCTGATTTTTTTTTTTTTTTTTTTTTTTGAGACAGAGTCTCGCTCTGTCGCCAGGCTGGAGTGCAGTGGCACGATCTCGGCTCACTACAACCTCTGCCTCCCGGGTTCCAGCTATTCTGCCTCAGCCTCCTGAGTAGCTGGGATTACAGACACCCACCACCACACCCAGCTAATTTTTGTATTTTTAGTAGAGAGTTTCACCATCTTGGCCAGGATGGTCTCAATCTCTTGACCTCATGATCTGCCTGCCCCAGTCTCCCAAAGTGTTGGGATTACAGGCGTGAGCCACCATGCCCAGCATAGAGCTGATTTTTTGTGTGTGTATGGGGAGAGATGGAGTTTTGCTCTTGTTTCCCAGGCTGGAGTGCAATGGTGCAATCTCAGCTTACCACAACCTCTGCCTCCCGGGTTCAAGTGATTCTCCTACCTCAGCCTTCCAAGTAGCTGGGATTACAGGCACGTACCACCACGCCCGGCTAATTTTTCGTATTTTTAGTAGAGACGGGGTTTCTCCATGTTGGCCAGGCTGGTCTCCAACTCCTGACCTCAGGTGATCCACCCGCCTCAGCCTCCTAAAGTTCTGGGATTACACGCATGAGCCACCATATATATATGTGCACAATTTCACATTTAATATTTTATCTTGTAGATGTACACATATAAAGATATATGTTTAAAGTTGTTTGCTGCCACAAAATTTATATAGCAAAAACCTGGAAGCAGTCTAAACGTCCGTATGGCTAAAGAAATGGTGGTATTACCCATATAATGGATATAACCACCTAGGCATTAAAAAGCACGAGAGATTTATAAATGTCCATATGAACCGATCACAACGTATACTTTTTTTCTTTTAATTTTATTTTTTTCAAAACAGGGTCTCACTCTGTCACCCAGGCTGGAGTGCAGTGGTGCTATCTTGGCTCACTGCAACCTCTGCCTCCCAGGTTTAAGCAATTCTCCTGCCTCAGCCTCCCAAGTAGCTGGGATTACAGGCACCCACCACCATGCCTGGCCAATTATTGTATTTTTAGTAGAGACAGGGTTTCACCATGTTGGCCAGGATGGTCTCGAACTCCTTCAAGTGATCCACCCACTTCAGCCTCCCAAAGTGCTGGGATCACAAGCCTGAGCCATTGCACCCGGCCGCTCTTTATTTTTTTTTTTTTGAGACGGGGTCTGGCTCTGTCACCCAGGCTGCAGTGCTGTGGCACAATCACAGCTCACAGCAGCCTTGACCTCCTGGGTTCAAGTGATCCTCCCACCTCAGCATCTTGAGTAGCTAGGACTACAGGTGTGCACCACCACAGCTGGTTAATTTTTGTTCCTTGTGGGATTTTTTTTTTTTGTAGAGACGGGGTCTCACTATGTTGCCCAGGCTGGTCTCAAACTGTCCAGGCTGGCCTCAAGCGATCCTCCTGTCTTGGCCTCCTAAATAGGTGGGACTACAGGTATGTCCTACCACACCCCAGCTAATTTTTTTTTTTATGTTTTGTAGAGACAGGATCTTGCTGTGTTGCCCAGGCTGATCTCAAAATCCTGGGCAAGGAATCCTCATGTCTTGGCCTCCCAAAGCCCTGGGATTACAGGCATGAACCACTGCACCTGGCCCCATGTAAATCTTTTAATCAAACAATTTCTTTTCTAGAAATTTATCCTAAGGAAAAAAAATCAGGAACAAAATGCACACAGTTGTAAATACAAGGATGTTCATCAAAACATTTACAACAGCAAAAAGTTGGAAAACAGCTTAAGTCTCCATTAATGAGAGAATGGTCCAATAAGTCATGTTTATCCATGTAGCCATTAAAAGTAATGTCAGTAACTACAGTATAAACCATTGGCCATATATGGTGACTCATGCCTATAATCCCAATACTAGGAGGCTGAGGCAGGAGGATCACTTGAGCCCAGGAGTTTCAGGCCAGCCTTAGCAACATAGGGAGACCTCAACTCTACAAAAAAATTTTAAAATTAGCCAGGTTTAGTAGTGCATGTCTGTAGTCCCAGCTACATGGGAATCCGAAGTGGGAGGATCACTTGAGCCCAGGAGGCTGAAACTGCAGTGAGACATGATCACACACTGTACTCAAGCCTGGGCAACAGAGCAAGACTCCATCTCGAAATAAACAAACAAACAAACAATGATACCTATGTTTTCATTGAGGTATAAATCACATAATGCACAATTAAAACATTTTCTGAATACATATGCATAGAAGAAAGATTAGAAGGAAATATATAAAAATAT